CTCCGATGAATTTCCGGCCGGGACGGACACTGGTCTCATGACTCCGCCGACTGCCATGTTCGCCGGACGAGGACGCCGAGGTGGAGGTGACAGTGGCCGAGGCGGCTCCGGCAGCAATGGCCGCAGCAACCAGAATCGTGGTCGGGGTGGCCGCGGAAACGGAGGGCGTGGAGGACGTGGTGGCGTGCCGCGCTGCCAAATCTATCGTGCGCAAGGGCACACTGCCTTCTACTGCTACAAGCGGTACGCTCCGATGCCGCAGCCCCAGGCAAACATGGTGGTGTCCGGTGATGAGTCGACGACAGTCTCCACGGCAGCGGCAGGTTGGTTCCCCGACACCGGAGCCACAGCGCATGCCACCCCGGACCCGTCCATGATGTCTCAATCCGAAGATTATACCGGTGGTGACGTTCTTCGCGTGGGTAACGGGACAGGTTTGATAATTTCGCGTGTTGGGCATGCTAATATACCATCTGCGTCAAAAACATTACGTTTGTCAAATGTGTTACACGTTCCAAAGTTGTCTGTACCGTTATTATCTGTTTCTCGTCTTACTAATGATAATGATGTGTTTGTTGAATTTCACAAAAGTTACTTTCTTGTGAAGGATACAATCACCAAGGCAGTACTGCTTAAAGGTTTCGTGTCGGGCGGCTTATACAAGCTCCCGGTCTCCCAGTCTAATTTCGCGTTTGTTTCTGCTCGGGCAACGCCCACGATTTGGCATCGACGCTTGGGACATCCAAACACTCATGTTCAAAGTCGTGTCCTAAAGTCATGTCCGGTTGCTTCCAATAAAAACGAGTTGGGGTCGTGTGCTTCGTGTCATCTTGGCAAGGCTTGTAGATTTCCACTAGATAGGGTTAATTATTCTAGTGAAAATGTATTAGACTTGTTATATACCGATATCTGGGGTCCGACACCTGTAATGTCTACTAGTGGCTTCAGATATTTTCTATTATTTGTAGATGACTACTCACGTTTCTCCTGGTTTTATCCCTTACGGGTAAAATCAGATATTTATAAAAGTTTTGAGGTTTTTCGTGTCATGGTAGAGCGCCAATTCGGGCGTTCTATCAAGTCTATTCAATCGGATCTAGGTGGGGAATATCGCAAATTACATAACATATTCACCCAACTAGGCATAATTCACCGTCAATCGTGTGCCTATACACACGAGCAAAACGGCAGGGTCGAACGCAAAAACCGGCACATTGTTGAAACTGGTTTAGCGTTAATGGCTGAAGGCTCAGTTCCCCAACAATACTGGGACTTTGCTTTTGAGACAGCCACCTGTCTAATCAATTATTTGCCAACTCCAGTCTTACAGTTTGAAAGTCCATACACGCGTCTATACAGAACTCCACCACCATACACTTTCCTTCGGGTCTTCGGGTGCAAGTGTTACCCCTATCTACGGCCTTACAATCGGCACAAGATAGAGTATCGCTCTGCCCCATTTGTCTTCTTAGGTTACCCACTCAGCTTTAGGGGGTATAGATGCATGAACCTAACAAGTGGAAAAATCTACACCTGTCGCCATGTGCGTTTTGACGAGTCAATTTTTCCTTTTTCAGACTCAACGGACTCAAACCAAACTCCGACAGCCGCCACAGCTGTCCCGTGGGCCGTAGGGCCGCTTGTGACTCACGAGTCACCTCTTGGTAACATTGACACAGTTGCACGTGCTCAACCCAATAGTCCAACCCCGTTGGCTCAGGAATCACCGCCCTTGGCCATAGAAGGGCCGACCTTGGCTCAAACCGAGCCTCCTCGGGCTCGAGTCCGAAAACGGCGGGCGCCGGGTCAAGAACGTGCACATGTGATGTGGCTTATGCATCAAACCCGTGGCACTGAGGAGCCGTTTCAGGCGTTAAACGTGTCTGTTGATCCAACCTGTTACTCACAGGCGGTAGGCCATCCACAGTGGCGGGATGCTATGGATCAAGAGTTCAATGCTCTTATACATAACGACACTTGGAAGCTCATACCAGCAGAACCACACATGAACATAGTGGGTTGCAAGTGGGTATTCTGCACAAAACGGAATGCTGATGGCTCGATTGAGCGGTACAAGGCACGCCTTGTGGCCAAGGGGTTCAATCAAGTAGCCGGAGAGGACTTCTTTGATACTTTCAGTCCTGTGGTCAAACCGACCACCGTTCGCCTGTTGTTTTCCCTGGCCGTGTCTCATAACTGGACTATGCGTCAGCTAGATGTCCACAATGCTTTCTTAAATGGGCATTTAGCTGAGACGGTTTACATGAAGCAGCCACCGGGGTATGAAGACCCGACACACCCCGATCATGTGTGCCATCTTCAGCGGTCGCTTTACGGACTTAAACAAGCTCCCCGAGCTTGGTTTAAGCGCTTACATGATTTTTTAATCACTGCAGGTTTCTTATCCTCCAAAACAGACGTATCCCTGTTTCACTACTCTGCGGGCACATCACGCGTATATTTGTTAGTTTATGTCGACGACATAATAATGATGGGAAACGACTCTGTTCTTACTCTCAGTTGTTACAGCGTTTGTCCACTACTTTCAAAATCCGTGATCTGGGCGCACCTAGTTTATTTCTCGGGATCGAGACCTTGAAAGTAGAGTCAGGACTACTTCTGTCTCAGCAGCGCTATATGAAAGACATTCTCAACCGTGCCGGAATGATAGATTGCAAGCCTCTGGCAACCCCCGCTGCAGTCACGCAGCCAGTGACTCCGTCGGATGAACCGTTTGACAACCCGACACAGTATCGGCGTCTAGTTGGGGCACTTCAGTACCTGACTATCACGCGTCCGGATCTGTCCTTTTCTGTCAATAGGCTGTGTCAGTTTATGCATTCGCCGTCCAGTGATCATTGGAGTCTATTGAAGCGTGTGCTACGATACGTGAAAGGAACCATCTCGTATGGTTTGCGTCTTTCTGCTTCTGCCTCGTCGACTATTCACGGTTTTTCAGACTCGGATTGGGCCGGTTGTCCCATCGACAGGAAGAGCACTAGTGGGTATGCTGTGTTCCTAGGTGACAACCTCATCTCCTGGCTATCTCGGAAACAGCGCACAGTCGCCCGATCCTCAACTGAAGCTGAGTATAAAGCTCTTGCCGATGTGTCAGCTGAGGTAACCTGGGTTGTTTCACTTCTTCGAGAGCTTGGGCTACATTCGGGAGAGCCGTCCACACTTTGGTGCGATAACCTGGGTGCTACCTATCTTTGTGCCAACCCATTGTTTCATGCCAGGACCAAACATGTGGAGATTGATTTTCACTTTGTTCGAGACAAGGTGGCTTCAGGTGACTTGGTTGTTAGTTATGTTTCGACGAGGGATCAGCTTGCAGACATACTTACCAAACCGCTACCAGGGCCCCGCTTTGCAGCTCTACGTGACAAGCTCAACGTTGTTGCTCACCACCCTTGAGCTTGAGGGGGTGTGTTAGAGATGTTATTATTTATGTTATTATTTCTATTAGTTATGTTGACTAGTCTTTGTATTAGATTAGTTAATTATGGCTTTCCTAGTTAATAGGATTAGTTCATGCTGTGCAACTAGGCTAGATCCAACATATATGCCATCAAACGAAAGATAACACATTAAACAAACATTGAATCATTATTCCATTGACCATGGTGGACCATAAATAAAAAATACATTTTTAATATACTAAAAATACATTATTTGAAAGTACATTATTTGAGTACTAAAAATATATTATTTTGTATACTATCAAAATAATATTTTCAATACATAAATAATATATTTTAATATATTAAAAATATGTCTGGTATCCATGGTCCATGTAGCTGTGCGAACCATAGTCCACAAAAAAAAAAAAAAAAAAAAAAAAAAAAAAAAAAAAAAAACACATCGCCACAAACGTACACTATCTAATCGAGGCTAAAAGTTTTTATTATTACAAAACTTAGTCTAATATAAATATGAAAGGAAAATGGTTAAATAAACCATTAAGCTTTATACAAAAGTTCAATTAGGCCCCTAAATTTTTTAAATGAGTAATTAATTACTTCAACTTATTAAATTCAGTCAAATAAATCCAATTACCGATAGTCAATAGGTTACCGATATGCATGTCGTCGTTGACCGCCACTAGCTACTAATGACCGTTGTCGTATTCTGTTGACTGCAATCATTGATAATAATCGGGGGGAAAACGACAATCGACAATCATTTTTGGATGAAGGCGATGGTTGCCTTCTCCGGTGGGTTGTCTAGATAACGTGACCCACTAGTTGCCTTCCTCAAAGAAAGTAACTGGCGATCGTTCTAAGATTGTCGATTTTTTCCTCGAAAATAGTCGGAACCGCAGTGACTCGTTATTACAGATCAGGGGTCTAGTTGCACTTTCGTGTAAAGTTTGAGAGTGTATTTGACCCTTTTCCCTAAATATGAATATTATATTGCCACATTGACCAAAAATTTTCACTAAATTATTTTTACGATTTGAAACTTGCTAGCAATATTTAATGCTTCTCTTACAATGAAATATTAAAACAATATTTAACATATCCTCATGTTAACTCTTTTTATTCATTAATTGCCATGAATTAACTGATTCTACCTCACCTTAAAAAAAAGAATCTATTTATTAATCAAATACTGAAATACGAATTATATACCGCTACATTAGATGAAAAATTTTGGTCCCCTATAAAAATTAAAAATTAAAAATATCATATACTAAAATATAGCAAAAACCATGAGATTCATAACAAGTATAAATTATGGAAATTTTGACAAATTACAATTATTAGGTCTAAAAATTAATATAATTATATTTATAACACATAATTCAAGTTTGGGTCGGATACAACTTCAACACATATTATATTAACCAAATTTATGTTAGAATATATCACAATTTATTTGAACTTTTGGGGCTAAAGTTTGAATAATTTCAACACCACCAACTGCTTCCAGTACAAACTGTCCGCTGATTTAAATATGATGCTGTGGCCTGCGGGCAACTCACTACTCACTAGTCAGCAATACTAACCATCCCAGCTAATCTTATCACACACATTTCATTCATTATATCTGCTTCTGATCTCTGTTTCTAACTTTTTATGCCCTTTATATTTACTTGCTATATTTCTTTATTTTCTTCACAGCCCACAAAAAGATCGAATCTTTCTTGATGCACAAAGTCTGATGCTTTGCTGCTGAACATTTAAGGTTTGGGTTTTACTTCAAATGTGTGTGATATTAATTAGATATGTTATGCATAGTCAAAAATGTTTGATTTTTCTAGTTTTTCAGTTGTTTCTAGATGTGTACAAGAAAATGTGTATAGGAAAGACAATTTCTTTGAAACCCTTTTTTATTAGCTTTAAATTTTAGATGCTGATGAGGGGGGAAAAGGGGAGGGCTTTTATGTTCCCATGTTTTTGCTAATTGCTTTTCTTCTGTTTTTGGGTTAGTTGTTTGATGTGGTGTGATTGCAATGGATGGAAATAGTAGAGGTTCAATGGGTAGTAGTGGAGAATTCAAGAAATCCTGTGAGGTGGCTGTTCTGATCCATGGGGATGATAAAGATTCAAGAAATAATCCTCCAGATGCTTCAAGGGATCAAAAAGGCACACCTTTGGCTAATTCACCACAGAGAGTATCACTTGATTCATCTTTTGCTTCTCAGAAGGGGGTCCCAGTGAGTGGTCCCTCTCCTGAGATGGGTAGCCACCACAATAAGCCTCCTAGAATCCCAGGAACTGACACTCTCACTCGGCGAAAGTCATTCGCAAAGTCAGTTTACTCGAGATCCAAATCGAGGTTTGGGGAGCAATCTGTGCCTATTGATCCTAGTATGTTTGAGGAAAATTATGACCATGATGTGAGATCAAATGCATCTAGTCGTGCTTCGCCCAAGACTAGTGTGGGCCAAAATGCTCCCGGGGTTACACAAAGGGAATTCGCGAGGACAGTTTCTGTGTCTGTGATGCAGAAGACGCCGCCAGTGATGGCATCACCGGGGCGTTTTGGTGGGGTTGATGAACACGAGGCGATATATAACAAAGTGAACATAAGGAAAAAGTTGAGGCTTAGGAAAGTGAAACTGAAAGTTCTGATGGATTGGCTGGTGTTTCTTGGCCTTTTGGGGTTTCTAATAGCCTGCTTGACCACCGAAAAGCTGCAGCATTTCAAGATTTGGGAGTTGGAGATCTGGAAGTGGGTCGTGCTCGTTATGGTGATGATCAGCGGGATGTTGGTGTCGAAGTGGCTCATACATTTCATCGCCTTGTTGATCGAGCTCAACTTTTTGTTGAAGAAGAAGGTTCTGTACTTCGTGTATGGCTTGAAGAAGATTGTCCAGGTTTTCATTTGGTTGAGTTGGGTTCTCGTCACTTGGGTGTTGCTATTCACGACGGGGGTTAGAAGAACACATCTCGCAAACAAAATTTTGGATTATATTACTTGGACTATTGTTTCTTTGCTCATCGGTTCATTTTTGTGGCTCCTCAAGACATTGCTGCTTAAGATTCTTGCAGCCTCCTTTCATGTGAACACATTCTTTGACAGAATTCAGGAATCTCTGTTTCATCAGTACATTCTACTCACGCTCTCGGGGCTGCCAGTTATGGAGTCTGCCCAGATGGCCGGGGTAGGAGCAAATAGTACCACCGCTCAGCTTAGCTTCGACAAACCAAAGAAGGGAGGAGGGAAGGAAAAGAAGCAGAAAGAGGTGGTTGATATCAATAAGCTTCATCAGATGAAGAGGGATAAGGTCTCGGCTTGGACCATGAAAATGCTGGTTGATGTCATATCCAATTCGGGATTGTGCACTATCTCTGGCGCGTTCGATGAAAGTGCTTTCGATGGAGAGAATGACCAAGCAGATAAGCAGATTACTAACGAGGAGGAAGCCATTGCTGCTGCCTATCACATCTTCAGGAACGTTGCTCGCTACCCCAACGCCACGTAATTCTTTGTTTCCTTATACACAGGATTGTTAGTAGCGAAGGCGCAACTTTATTTCCTTATATCGCCTGATACCTCTTGTTAGGATCAAACGTTTACCACTGCGCCAAAAGCTATAGCTAGAGCGAAGGCGTAACTTTATTTCCTTATATGCGAGGCAAGGTGCTAGACTTGGCCTTACAGGCCTCTGCCCAACAATCCCCTAGCCACCTGGTGTTGGACCTGGCCATACAGGCCTCTGCCTAACAATCCCCTAGCCACCTGGTGTTGGACCTGGTCCTACAGGCCTCTGCCTAACAATCCCCTAGCCACCTGGTGTTGGACCTGGCCCTACAGGCCTCTGCCTAACAATCCCCTAGCCACTAGTATTGGACCTGGCCCTACAGGCCTTTGCCTAACAATCCCCTAGCTACCTGTTGTTGGACTTGGCCCTTCACCGACCTCTACCCAACAAAAACCTTTCTTTCGATTATCTTTCTTTATTTGCATCATAATTTAAAGTCTTTTTTTTTTCTTTTTCTTGTGAAGGTATATTGATGAGTATGACCTGATGAGATTCATGATCAAAGAAGAGGTGGATCTGGTTTTCCAAATGATAGATGTGGCTGACACTGGACAAATCCACAGAAAAGCTTTGATGGAATGGGTGGTATTATGAAATTCTTATTTCCATGGAATACAATATGAAATAAAGTTATAAGCCAAGACCTTCCAGAAGTCTGTGCTGATAGTTGGACTGCACATTTATGTTTATATATTATATATGCTCGACAGAATTGACCCTTGAGCAAAAGTTTCATTTCTCAGTGTTGATGTACTTGGTACATGCAGGTTAAGGTTTACAATGGGCGCAAAGCGCTGTCACACGCCCTGAACGATACAAAGACTGCTGTAAGGCAATTGAACAAGCTCGTCACGGTTGTCCTTATAGTTATAATAATCATAATTTGGCTTCTATTGATCGGAATAGCTACCACGAAAGTCCTCGTCTTCCTCTCATCGCAACTCGTGGTTGCAGCTTTTATGTTTGGTAACACTTGCAAGGTGATATTCGAGGCCATCGTGTTCGTATTTGTGATGCACCCTTTTGATGTTGGCGATCGCTGTGTGATCGATGGCGTTCAGGTAATTAAAGAGATGGCAATGAACTATTTCTTGTTTTCCTCGAGTATGTTGAGCATATAACCATTAATGTGCAATCCAACTATCAGCTTAGGCTTTTAGTTGAGGTGGAGCACATGCTTCAATTGAGTAATCCGTATATCATATATCTCGAAATTAATTGCAGATGACAGTTGAAGAGATGAATATCTTGACAACAGTGTTCTTGAGATTTGACAATGAGAAAATATACTATCCAAATACAGTTCTTGCCACTAGGCCTATCAGCAATTTCTACAGAAGCCCCGATATGAGTGATTGCTTCGAGTTCTGCCTCGATTTCAGGACACCATTGGAGAAGATAGGAGCTTTAAAAGAAAGAGTAAAGATGTAAGTTCAATATATATCATAACCATTCCACTATGGTTGATGTGTACTTATATTTTCCTGTTTCAGATACTTAGAGAAAAGCTCCCATTGGCATCCCAATCACAGTGTGGTCGTGAAGGAGATCGAGAATATGAATAAGATAAAGATGGCACTGTTTTTCAATCACACAATGAACTTCCAAAACATCGTAGAGAAGAATCGGAGGAGAACTGAGCTTATCTTGGAGATGAAGAAAATTTTTGAGGATTTAGATATGAGATATGATCTTCTCCCTCAAGAAGTTCATCTCGTCGAGTCAAGGGCAGCAGCTCGGGGCAGTAAATGAGTACCTAGTTAGCTCTTCGGTTCGCCTTTGATTTCTGGTATTTCGTCTATGATTCTGCATTCAAGTATTGAATGTAAGTATCATCCTCAGAAACCTTGCACTGCATGAACTTGTTACCATCTTCTTTCGGGTTTTACGACATGGATCTATGTTAGAACTTAGAATGCTGCAACAGCAACAGGCAACAGGGCACACAACACCCTTCAGGTTTCCTTGCTTCAAATGGCCACTGAATTTTAGAAGATGAGCAGAATATGTATATTCTATGTTAAGATGCAAACAAGTGTTTAATGTTTCACATGTATTAGGTATTTTGTAGATGGAGTTAAAAGTGTGAATGTTTTTCAATAAAAATCTCAACTTATCTTTGCTAAGTTAGCTATTAAATACCACAATAATTATGTAACAAAATTTCACTTAAATATCATTATTTAATATAATGTATCAAAATATCTACTTTACACATTTAAAAATTTTAAAATAAATTCTTAAAAAATTATAGTCACCAACTAATAGTTAAATGCGTTAATTCTCAAAATAGTCCTCCGGCTATGACATTTTCTCAATTTAGTAGCTCGACTTTCAAGTTTTGCACTCTAATTTAATAAATCTACGACTCCCTTTTAGCAGCTTGCACACGTTTTTTTTTGTTTTTTTTTTTTAAATTAGGTTTTTGCTCTCCTCAATTTGCGATCAAAATGTAGGATAATCAAGTAGAAAATCATTTTCGCTTAAAATTCAATAGTCGGAAGACCACTTTGGTTGCAATTAAAAGTCAAGGAACTAATTTAAGAAAATGTTATAGACGGAAGATCATTTTGAGAATTAACTCAAAAAAAAAATATAAGATTGAGATTATCCCAACAAAGATAGCATTGGCAAGATGATGTGGAAATTTAAAAAAAACATTGTTTATTTTGGTGGGTTGTCCATGTAGCCAGCAAATTTGCTAGGCAGCTTTTGCCGCCAAAATGACAGTAAAAACGGTCGCTACCATACTTTTTTTAAAATTTCTTTTATTATTATATTTGTAATTTATAATATAATATGAAAGTCTGATATTTTTAAAAGTGAAAGAGTAGAACAAATAGTAGAGAATTTACAAATTTGATTTATTATTTTTGGAAGTGAGAGAGAATGGAAGGATATGCAATCGTTTTCCTTTTTCCGCAAAGGATAACCCTATCCTGCAGAGTAGATTACAGAGTTAAGAGCTGCCACGTGGGACAGATCTGAGATGCCATGTGAGCAGAAAATCTCCCTCCTCCCTTCTCCGCCTATCGGCTATCATTACCATTTCCTTCAATTGTTCATCCCCTCCATTTCTTCTTCTTCTGATCTCAGAAAACAGTTTCCCCATTAGCTAGATCGACAAAACTACAGATCAGAGAGCAAAATGGCCTCAATGTCAATGGCTACGCCGATCGCAGCCAGCCAGAAGAGGGTGCAGCCGCCCGGCGCCGCAGCCTTCTTCAACCCATTACCGGCGAGGCGGCCCTCAAAGTCCGTCGTCTGCTCAAGATCAAGCAAGCGGCTCCAAATCTCGGCCTCTTTGAAGGAGAAGGCCATCACTGGACTCACCGCCGCCGCCTTGACTGCTTCGATGGTGGTTCCCGAGGCGGCGGAGGCGGCGGTGAGCCCGTCGCTGAAGAACTTCTTGCTGAGCATAGTGGCGGGAGGGGTTGTGGTTGCAGTCATTGTTGGAGCTGTTATTGGCGTTTCCAACTTTGACCCTGTCAAGAGAAGCTAAGTACTTAATTACTACATATATTATTATTTGCTTTAATTTAATGTAATGTAATGTAATGTGATGAGAAACTTTGAATCTCTCTCTCATTTCTACTCCGTTTTCTACTTTAATAACCTCCTCCTCCTCATCATTATTATTATTATTATTATTATTATTATTATTATTATTATTATTAAGAACTTATTTTAATTGTTTTCAAAAAAAAAAAGAACTTATTTTAATTATGAGTGTGAATTCAAAGGAAAATTACTAAAATTAATCACTATACTTCTTCCAAAAGGCTGAACCCCAACCCTAAGGGCTCCTCAATTAATCACTATACTTAGTGTAGTAGTTCGTTGTTATATACTCGAAGTCACGACTGACAGAAGGCAGCAATGTGGGGGTTCAAATCCCACCGGAAACATGAATGAGAAAAAAAAAATTTTAAGATGATGGAATTTGTGATTGGATCCCTTGTGCACACATAAAAACTAGGGTCCGATCAGTGGGTAGGTTACAAGTTCTAAAGTTCGACCCTTATTGAGAGCAGCTTATTGGTTTTCTTGGTTTGGGAGCAGCTTATTGACTTTCTTAGTTTGGACCGATCAACTATGGATAACTTAAAATAAAATAAGAAGAAGCAAGGCATCATACATAGCACCTGAAGATTTGACATAGTCAATTTCATACATTAGAAAGGCAAGACACCGACTCTCCAATCTCTAGGGTGTTCAATCGGTTAACCGAACCGTTTTAATCAAACCAATTTAAACCTTTAACCGTTAACCGAATTGAAGTTTATGTTACCGAATTAATCGAACTGAATTTTTTTTCCGATTAACCGATTAATTAACCAAACTTTTTTTAAGTTAAAATTTAAAATCCTAAAAATAACACCTAAAATAATAAATTTAATTAAAATAATACACATTATTAATAAATTCATAACAAAATATACAAAAACAATACCGTAACAACACTATAAACAAATTACATTTAAATATTTAATACATTATATATATATATATATATATATATATATATATATATATATATATATATATATTAAAAAGTTCGGTTAATCGACACTTTCGAACCGAATTAACTGTTAACAGAACTTTGGAAAAACCTTTAACCATTAACCGAACAGAAAAAGTTCGATTAAAAAACAATTAATCAAACTTTGTCAGTTCAATCGGTTAACTGAAAATTATCCGAAGTTTGCACACCCTTACCAATCTCCATAAATATGAGTTTCATGTAAAGTTTAAATTTCTCTAAAGTATACATTAGACCCACCTACCAACAAAGAAGGCAATATATAGTTAGCAATGGGCTTTAGAATCACATCTTGAAAAAATTAGTAAAAAATGGCATCTAAATAGTCATTATGAGATAATGTTTCTAGTGAAATCTATTTTGATTTAAGTCAAGTTAAAGTGGATTTGAATTCTTTTAGTTGAGATGATGTTTTTTTTATATATTTATACTATCAATCCAGATACTGATGATTAAATGATAAAATTGATTCACAAAATATACCAATGAAATTGATAAAACTAGAGCTTGAAAAATGCTTTTAATTAGTCGTTATCCTACATTGAAAAAGTATATGTGGGTTTACACTAGTATACAAACATTTTAACATGGAATAATGTTTAAATTTACAATTGAACTATACATGAAAATACAATTGAGTCATATCTCTACAAGTATAAAATGATAAAATGATTTATAAGGTCATAAATATATTGCAATATTTTTATTATTAATAATATTATAATTATAATTATAAATAAATACTCTTATTAATTGTTCAATATTAAAAATATAATTTTAAATAAAAATAGAATAAACATAAGTTGTTAATAATAAATAATTCAATATCGGTTAATGCAATTATATATAATATATGTGTGTGTCTCTTATACCGTGTGTCAATTAAAATTTCAAGCTCTATGTCGGGAGGGATTCAGAAAATCATCTTAGCGGGAGGCGAAGTTCAAATGACGTTAGAAATGTTAATGACAAAATATCAAACAACAATAATAAGGTTAAAATATAAAATACATTATAAATTATAATAGAATATTTTTGATATATTACATGATTGTTAGGGTCGGGCCAAAAATATACTTGAGTAAGGTAAAAATGTGAAAATATTTAGGATAAAATATGAAATATAATCAATTAGATAAAATAATTTGAATAACTCTATATTCATAAATGCTTTTTAATTTTAATTTTTTTTAGTCAGATCAACTTTAAGTTTTTCTAAATTAATTCGAATACAATGAAGTATAATATAAAATTGTATATTACATTAATTAAATAATTCATAAAAAGCATGAAAAAATTACACTTTTGGTCCTATGACTATTAGATTCTAGTCAATTTCAGTCCACGACTTTAAAAACTAACAATTTATTACCCTAACTATGCAATTTTTAACAATGGTCCACCTGTCCAAATTGCCGGTGGGAGAGGGGCAGCTGCCCCCACAGTGGCTTCGTCCCTGGCTCTAGGCAATTTGATAATATTAAAATATAAATTTGAATAAAAAATTGAATACATATAAACACTATAATAATCAACAATTATTAAGAATAAATTAAACTTTTAAAACGAGAATACAATAAGCTAATACCAATAAATTAATCAAAGTAGCTTTTTCATTTTCAACTTATTAATATCAATTAGTTAAATAAAAAAAAAAAACTGTTTTACCAAAGACTCATAATATTAACTGTTTGACCATCAAATAACTAAAACTAGTTAAATAATAAATCAAAATTTGATTGATAAGTCATTTCCAAACACACCCTATGTCTACTATTTGCTTATGGGCACATTATTAGGAGCTTATATAGATATTTTATTGATTTAGAAAATATTATATCAAAATAATATTTCACCAATGCATAGAACCGTGATAAAGATTTAATTTTCATGATAATGATCATTTTGAATTTTAATGAAATTATCTTAATGGAAAAATACCAAGACTATGTGGTTTAATGGTACTTGGGTTGGACTTTTATTTAGAAGGTTGTGAGTTCGAGTTTCAGTGGAGGTGTTATTCACATTGTAATAGAGCCAGTAATATGTCAATTATCAATGTCACTCCTAAATTATTAGTGGTAAATATTGTCCTCAATTTTTTCAAAACGGCGGTACATATAGTATCGCCTGTCAATTGTTATGCGCGCCATAGAACCGTGTTCACCTTACAAGGTTATAAAACTATATGTTCATAATTTTTGAACTTTATATTCACAATTATTGAACCCTATATATTCACAATTACAGAACTCTCTGTTCATAATTACTAAACACTATGTTCATAATTATAAAACTCTGTGTTCATAATTTTTGAACTTCATATTCACAATTATTGAACTTTATATATTCACAATTACAGAACTCTATGTTCATAATTACTAAACACTATGTTCATAATTATAAAACTCTGTGTTCATAATTTTTGAACTTCATATTCACAATTATTGAACTCTATATTCACAATTACAGAACTTTATGTTCATAATTATAGAACTCTATGTTCATAATTATACAACAC